ATACACACCTTTCACCATCCATGAACAAGCTAAATTGTTTCTTCAAACAGTTAATCTGAGCCTCATACAGACTCAGCCAATTCATACCCAAAATCACGTTATAAAAAGAAATTGGCAAAAAAATTAAACATGAGTTCCACTTCTTGCCAGAAATATCAATCTCACAGAAATAAAACTTCTGGGCTATCAAATTATTTTCAGCCGGCAAAAGAACGGAAAGCGAAACAAGTAACATAACAGAATCTAGATGCAAAGCATCAAAACAGCGCTTGGAAATAAATGAGTGACTGGCTCCAGAATCAAACAAAAAATGACAGGGTGTTCAGAAATGTAAATCATACCCATCACCATATTCGAAGTATCTCAAGCCTCTTGCTGATTCAAACTGTACACACGTGGCTGAACTGAAGTTGGAGCTACATAACTACTATGCTCCCTCTGATTTCCACTAGGTGGTCTCCTCGCTACAGAACCCGAACCACCCGCTCTACCAAACAATCTTTCAGAAATAGTACGGGGAGGAACTGTCCTCAGCCTTCCTGCTTGTCTAATAAAACTCTTATATCTAGACTCAAATAGTCGATCAAATCCAAATTGTGGACACTCTGCTATCCAATGTCCTAGCTGATCACATCTGAAACACTGACCAATCATCCTATAACACTGACAAAAATGTCTTCGTCCATAAGTTTTGTACACAGGTGCCCCACTGACTGACCCAGAACTGGCCAAACTGCCACTACCAGAAACTATAGTGGATCCTGACTGTGCACTTCTCTTGGAGTCTCTAGATACAAATCTCTTCTTTCCAAAAAACCCACTGCGGATGTATCCCCACTGAATCTCTTCCTACTAGTAGTCCACTGCTGCTGAGTAGCCATCAGATCATTTTTTATTAGACGAGCTCTCTCCACAAGCTCAGAGAAATCATAAATATGAAACGGTACCAGGGGTTGTCTCAAACTATCTCATAGTCCCCTCAAAAATCTATAGCACTTCTCAGCAGAAGTACTCACCAACTGTGGAGTATATCTGGCTAAAGCATTAAACTCTGCCTCGTACTACATAACTTTCCTGCTCCCTTGTACCAACCTCAGAAAAGTCTACTGCATTTGTTGCCTTGCATAAGGGGGTACAAACCAAGATCGAAATACCTCAAAAAATTCTTTCCAAGTAATCAAAGAGTTCAGTTTACCTTGGAATTTCTCCTCCTGCTGGCCCATCCACCAGCGCTCTGCCTCGCCATCCAAGAAAAAAACTGCTAACAGTACCTTCCTATCCGGAGGACATTGCATCCCGTCAAATTTCTTTTCCATCCTTCTCAACTAATCCCTGCTCTGGGCTCAACAGTGCCCTCAAACCTCGGAGGCTTCAATCTCAGAAATATTTGTAGATGTCTATGTACATCTTCAGATCGAACAGCAGAACTCTATTCTGAGTCTCGCTCATTATCTGAGCAACTAACGTAACAAACTACAAAACTATATTAAAACCAACCACTGGGACAATACTATTCACAGTAGCTGCCTAACTAGCACTCTGCCTATCAGTCATATCTGGGTCTGGCAGATCCATAATCACACAAAATACATCCATGCACACAAAATAACATAATAAAAATCCAGATAAATCAAAACTACCCCGACAAACTTACAGATCAATTCCTATAGACCCGTCTTATAATCCAAATTCCAAAACCATGCTCTGATTCCACTTAAATTTTGTCACGACCCAACCCGACCGGAATGAATCCCTTCGCGTCGGGTCGTGACGGATTAATCCAGGATCTAGCTTTGGAATTTGCTTTCAGACTTTCTTCCAATAAACATACACACAGAAAACACAAAGCTACTATAAACATCCAAATATATAGAAATTCATCTAAAATTTTCTTCTTTCTTTCATCAAAATAATCATGTACATTACAGTGCATGGCTACCAATAGAAAGAACAGAACGAAAAAGCTATAACTGTACAAAAATCAAAAGTATAAAATACATAATCCTAGATCAAACACTGAAGGCTAGTCCAAGATCTCCTTCCCTTTTCTAGAACCTAAAAATCACGCAGATAACAAGAATGAGCTAACATCTCAGCAAGACTACACCGGCCAATTAAAATCTCCAGAAACTCACATCCAAAAATACATCAGAAAAGTAGCCGTACAGAATTCAGATAATCGTACAGAAAATCGTATAATCAGACAAGATATATATACTTAGATACTTGATTAACAGAATATTCAAATCACTGATACAGAAGAATTCATTTCATATAACAAAATATTCAAATTAAATTTCAAATCAGAATTATCTTCAAATCACAGAACAGATAGAATCATATAAATCATAAATCACATTGTCAAAATAGATCAGATCACATAACATATCAGATCATATTCCCAAACCCTAACAGAATCTCAAAGGATTCTGACCCCTTATGCCTCCCTTCCCTGACACAGACAGAATCTCAAAAGATTCTGGGCCCTTATGCATCCCTTGTGCTTACAGCACCAAAACATATCAAAGATATAGAATTATCAGATAAAAACTTGTTTTCAGATTTTCGGACCCTGACAGAATCTCAAAGGATTTTGGCCTCTTATAACTCCCTTGATAGCATATAAACACATCAAATCATTAAATTCAGAAATCAGATTTCGTCAAGAAAATTGTCAGCGACATAACGACATTATACAGAAATTCCACAGAATTCACAGTTTCAAAAATTTACCAAATTACCACAGATAGAAGAAAACATCATTTCAAGACTTTAATTGTACTGAAGCAAATATTTTCAGCATCCATATAATTCTTTATTCGATAAAAACTCCGCAGAATTCAAAATACTAGGTAGAAATCTTCCAGAAAATACTCAAAACGTGCAAAAATATCATATCGGAAACATACCAAAAGTTACATGGTAAAACATTTATCAACACGAAATGAAACCAGATATTTGCTAACAGAAATAAAATTCGACACAGAAAAGTCGTCAAAATTCACATTTTTGAAAATTGAGAAAGGCGGAATATGCCTTACCTCGAGTCAATCAACTTTTCTAACTACGACGGACGAAAACGGACCGAAGTCGTCCAAAATCCACTTTTCTTTCTTTTTCCTTCATTTTTCTCTCTCCTTAGATTTTTTCTCTCTCTCCAAAATGTCCATTTAGATAAATACTATCATGGATCGTACGGGACGATTTGGTCTCTGGATGCATTTCGTCCCGACGAACCTAAATTCATCCTGGGACGAACCTCTCTTCCCCGAGGTTTTGAACTGATCGTCCCGGACGATCTCAACTTCGTCCGGACGAACCAGGAAGAAAAATTGGGTTTCACACTAGAAATGGTAGAACAATAAGAGTATGAGTTGCTGGCTTGACCTCTTATGAGAGCAATGATAAATTTTATGGGGGTGATAAATGACGAGAGATGTTCAGACATCTATAACTGGATGACAACAATCCATAGTTTGATGGTAGCGATAAGGCAGTAGTGGTCTGATAATGGTGGAGGTCTGAAGATAGAAGTCAGGTGGCTGCTGCTGATGATGATGGTTAGATGATGGTAGCCTGATAATAGTGGTTTGATGAAGATGTTTGATAATATGGGTCGACAATGTTTTGATGGTAGAGTTAAGTGATAACATCCTTATAATGGTGTTTGAGTGATGATGAAGGTTTGGGCAGTGATTGTTTGATGATGCCAAGTGATAGTAGCCCTACAATGGTGTTTAATTGATAGCGGAAGCTAGGCAACCCTATTTTGGTAGCAGTTTGTGGCTGTTTGTCTGGAAAAAGAGGTTAATCCAACATCATTAAACCATGGTGTTCGAGTGATGATGGAGGTTGGGTAGCCCTACACTAGTAGAAGTTTGAGGATGGTTGCTTGATGACAGAGGTCAATCCAACATCGTGTAACCATTGTGCTCAAGTGATAATGGAGGTTGGACAATCATGATTTGACAATGCTAGATGATATAAGTTCAACAATGTTGTCCAACTGAAGGTGGAGGTTGGATAGTGATGGTTTGACGCTGTAGCATGACAACATCCCAAATACAGTGTTCAAATGATGATGGAGGTTGGACAGTAATGATTGATAATAAGCTAAGTATTTTTTAAAACTCAAAATATTGATCAATCTATTTCTTAATTGACGTTGAACTCCTATTAAAGACATTGAAACATTATTGATTTAAATTGATATAATTTTTAGTTAATTTAGAGAGAACTTTGACAAACTTCAAAATTAAATTGAATGATTATAATTTGATTTTGGGCTTAGCAACACTTGCCCTAGAAAGAATCACAGGGGCTATTTTTTTATTTAAAATGGAATGCATAGTAAAATAAATGTATTGTAAAATAGAATTTGGATATTTGGTTTTATGGAAAAGAAATGCAGCGTAAAATTCTAGTGAATTTATTTTTACTCCTTAGCTTATTTTTGATGTATTACAGTCGTCCAGTTTTGACTGAATTCTTTTTTTTAATCGCAAGCCAACTATGTTGTAACCACCCACCATCGACACCCACCCGCCGCTAGCCGATCAGTAGTCATTGTTGCTACATGTCATAATTTGCCCATCGTCTCCACTGTTGCCCTCAGTCACCACCCATCACTATCCGTTATTGCCCCACACCCCTCACTGCACGCTGCACTTGCCCGCATATTGCTAGTCACTACCAAGGGCTGCCCATCCGTCGGCAGCCCTGCTAGCCACCATCACATGCTGTTACTAATCATGGGCTGTCGTTATCACTACCCATCATTGATCATCATTGCCACTGATCGCCGTCATTAACTACCATCATTATTTAACTTTATATTATAATTATTTAACTTTAACTCAAAAAAATCTTCTATACTTTTGATATACTTATTAAATTTTTTTCGTGACCCTTTTGTTTACTCAAATTAGTAGTAGTCAAATTAGCGCAAGAACGTTGAGTTTTTTTACCGTCCTCTACGTTTTTCTCAGATTTTTAACTCTCTAGACCGAGCTCTCCTTGCCACGGACTCGAGAGGAAAGTTAAATCCGCTTCAGCTTCTAGATTTCCGCCCTGCGCAGCTCCATTTCGTCTGCCGGTGGCCTTCCGACTTTTCCATCAGAGAAACGGTTCTCTTCTGTCGGCGAGCTGCCGTCCCAAGTTCCATTTGAGGCTCGACAAGTTTTCTTATCCTCGAGATACTAGCTAAAGTTTCAGGACATATTCTTGTTCTTGCTGTAGGGCTATCGGCTTAGTTTCTTTGTTGTCCTGAGATTGATGGAAGTCCGAGGGAAGATCTACAATCTATGACGAAAGGGACTCCGGTGTGTCGCTTGATGGTGTTGAAGCTCGGAGCTGGTCGCACATGGAATGGCAGATCACTTTGGGCATGGAAACGCTGATCCTGGCATCGAGAAGGTAGTTAGACCGCTGCGTTGGGAGCTTCATGGATTACTTTTAGTCTTGCTATTCTTTGTTAAGGAGATTTGATGTTGATAATAATGCATTCTGCTGTTCATATTTAATACCTGAACATGTCTAGAAGGTAAGTAGAGGGTACTGTAGTATTTATGAATGGGCAAATCATGTCATTGAAGAGACAATATCTTAAAATATAATGTGTAGACACAATAAATCTTATTTTCCTTGAAATTCGTGGAACCAAAAGCCTAAATCCTCTACTTTCTGTCTTGGTACATGAAAATTGAGGCAATTGATGTTTCAAGACTATTTAGTAACTATGCGAGCACAATATATATGAATATTGCAATTTAGAAAATTTGACAATATCATGTTGAGTTGGATGTAACACATCAAGATGTTGAAGTTTGTCATAAGAATCAATAAGGAAACAAAATGCTCTCTACCATAATAGATAGGTTTTACCATTGAATTTGATGGTGGTTCTGATGTTGAATGATGGTTTTGAATCATTGAGAGCAGGTGGAGAAATCATAATACCATTTGGAGGCAAGTCCAAAGAATCTAAGATGATACTCATATCATTTGGACGCATCAAGCACATGTGGTGATGGGAGATGAGTTGGAGTCATCACAAGGTGCTGTGGGTGCTTATTGTCAACGTTGGAAGTGGCTAGGGATTGTTGTATATAAGGTTGCAAGTGTGGGTGGATGCAAGAGATGCACGAGTAGTTGCGTTCATAGGTTGAACGGGAAGGGCGTATTAGGAGAGCGCTGGGGTGCATGAGAAAATGACTGCGTGCGTGCAAGTAGTCCTAGAGTGTGACTTAGCAAGCAATGTGGCATACGAATGATGAGTTGTACAAGAGGTGCCAAGAAAGTGAGATATAGGGGTGATAGCTATCGATGGAAAACTAGCCCCATTTAAGAAAAAATGTATGGATCAATGGTTAGGGCTAGGATTATTCCTGCTTTAATACGAAGTTAGAGGAGAAAAATCTTGTTTATTATTATTTATTGATAATGATTGCCTATGTATATGCATGCATAGCAAGTACATAACGATGATAATAATAAGGAGAATATTCTTGTTTATTAAGATGTAAGGTACAAATAAAAATATATGCACTACCAATCAATATTGTCTATTATATATTGTTTTCAATCTGACAACTTTCCAAAACTTCTTATTTGCAATTAGTCTCTTTTTTTCCTCTCTTCACACATTCGTACACACACAACATAGATGCACATGCTAAGGCAGCCACCCACATAACATGGCACATGGAAAAACATACATTGTAGAGACATATGCTCACACACACACCCCACACATATACCCTTATTCTTTCTGTCTGCTTATTTGTTTAAGCATATTGCTTAACACTTTCTCTTAGCTTGTCTTTTACTCTATTACATACGCTATCTCTCTCTTTTCTCTTAGTATGTTTTTGAATGTAGTGTGAGTTTTTGTATCAATCTATATTCTCTTACCCATGCATGCATATTTATTAACTTCATTCTTGTGTTTCTTTTATAGATCTGAATGTGGGATCCACTCCCACCCTGTCACTCTCTTTTCTTCACTCTATCTCTATCTATGCAAAATGTAGCAATAATTATAATGGTATAGCTTGTCCATTTCATAATCTTTAGACCTCTGTTTATGTTTATAATATAATATCCTATAAGATAAGTGATAAGTCTAAATAACCAAACATATCCTTAGCTTACAAAAGACCATATTGATAAAATAAATGTAATTATAATTCAAATAACTTGCTATGACATGACAAATAGTCCATACTTATTCTTTATCATTCCTTTTTGGGTTGAAATAACTCTAATTTGAAGCGTTTTAAATATTGCTGGAAAAAATTGAAGTCTTCTCTGCTATAGTGTCATAGTAATACTATTTATGATGCACGAACACGATGACACGGACACCACATGACATGGACATGGGACATGACTTTTTTTTTTTAAAAAATATAGGACATGAGTGCGGTGTGGACACATCATAATAATTTTTTTAATATAATATATAGAAATTAAGGTAACATCATATTATAAATGACAAACAATAATAAATCAATGTCATGATAGCTTGTTTAGTTTATAATATAAAATATTTATTACAAAATGTCTAGTACAACCACAAAAATAAAAGCAAAAAATCATTTAGTATAACATCAAGTTTCAACTACTCAGTAGAGGGAATGATAGGATTACCTTCAGAGGTTTGTCTTTGGTCTTTAATATCATCATCATTGAATATCATTGTTTCCAACTATGGTTCTATATTAATTTTTCTTCTCTCCTCATTTGGGAAATATCGTTTCAAACATTGCTTTCTCATATTTGAAACTTCTAAAATTTTTTTGTGGCGAGACATATTAACGATCTTCTTAAAGTCATTCTTTACTTGAATATCTTCAAAGAATACAAAAATGTAAAATTATTTATTTATTAGTAAACAAATTAAAAACTAATTTAGAAGATATATTCAAATTTACCTTGGATTTAATGAATGAGCAAGATTTAAAGTGTGCACAACACATGGAGTGTAGAAGATATGAGTATATATTTGCTCCCCTAACAATTCTGCAGCTCTATATACTAGTGTATTATTAGTGATAACATGCACAACATTTGATGTACCAATCATCAATATCACCTTTTTAATTAAATTGAAAATAAAATATTTATCTTTGTATTCTCCTTAACAATTCACAGCTTTGATGAACATTGTATAATTCTATGTAACAATCATGGAATTGATGAGTGATCTTCTTTGAGAGAAGTCCAACCATCACACATCAAACTAACACCTTTTTCTTTCCACACTCATTTCGTTGGTTCAAGCAATGTCTTAATATTTTCTTTTTCCCATTCTAATAATTTTGATCTTATTGCATTTTATCTAGGTGGAACATAACCTACAAGATTGTTATTACATGCAAAAGTGAATGTATTCCTTATAATAAGGATTCCTTGCATGGTTAAAAGAAAGTTTCGCTGAAAAAAACAATATTGCAATTTCACCATCATGTTGCTCTCGCATTTGCATGTTAAAAGTCTTCTTTAAAGAACTACTGACAACTCATTTTTTTTTCTTTTATTCATATTCTTCACTCCTAACTGAACTACCATGATTAGCTCTAATGGAGGAGAAAGAAGTGTGAGATAAAATATGGGTAGATGTCAAATGTATCTCTTTAGAAGTGCCCTTTTGATCCTGGATTTAGCTTCATCAACCTGTCTATTTAATTCTAGCAACTGCGAAGTAGTAATGTTAGGACACATTTTAACTTCATGGCTACCAATCTTAAGTAGATGTGCTTGCACCATAGAATATGATCCTTTATAGGTGGCACCACAATAATTACATTTGAATAATACATTTTCTTCTCCTTCAAAAGTTTTTTCTAACTTTGTAACATGATTTCATAAGGGCTTATCAGTTTCTATGCAAGGCTCTTTTGAACCTTCACCTAATTCAATCCCACCAACACTAGAGCTTATTTTACTTTTAGAAACACTGGTGAAATGAAATAAATAAAGTCTTAATAAATTGAGTGACATATTATAAGACATTTAAAATATTCCAAACAAAAAATTTCCCTAATTTGAAATTATTGCTTCATGCCTTTATGTAGTATAATGCTTAACTCTTAAGTCTAGGGTTTCAAATACAACTAAAAAAGTGATATGAATGCACAAAATATTTGTAAATCTAGGGTTTCATATTGTAAGACATTTTGTAAGAGTAGGGTTTTAGTTTCTATTTTGTACTTGTCATTCTGAACTTGATGTGAATCTTTCTCATTGCAATGACATTTTATTTTTAGAGAAATAAAATATTAAATTCACATGCTACACGTTAGAATCAAAGTTCAACCTAGTAAATGTTTAAAAAATATTGGTCAAAAATAGAGATCTTGAAAAAATAGACATCTCCAAAAAAAAAATAAAAAAGAGAAAACTTGAATATATAATAGGCTTCAGTCGTCTGGCTCATCTCACTCTCCCTCCTCTGCCTTTGATGGAGCACGCACAAGTGTCGGAAGTCAGAACACTTGAATGGGAAATGAAGAGAAGATGAATGACCGAACAAAAATGAAGAGAAGAGTAGAAAATTGCTTCAATCAAACTTAATGTCTTGAAATCATGCTTTGTTGGATCGCTTGTGTGCATAAATGACGAATGGATGTTGGTTGAATACAAAGGAACAGGGAAGAAGAAGACGACATGGTCGGTTTGGCCTCGGCTGCCATAGAAATGACGAAGACGATGGATAGAGACCTCGCCTCACTCACTTGGTCGTGCCGTAAAGGAAGATGAGGGATACAAGCTTTGAAAATGAATGTCAGACTCGTCTGTTCGTTTTAATTTAATTTATTTTTTAATCTGACATGTTAATCCCTTGTCTGACACATGCCCTCGCCATGTCGGGCGGGTGTCCGTGTCTGACACTGCATTCCCTCTTTAAGTGGAATGCCGGTGCATCATAGAATACTATTCATCATGTCGGTAAAATATCTTGGGAAGTATAGATGAAGGGAGTACATTCTGAAGAAGAAGAGATGAGTTGGTCATTTTCTCTTAAAGCAAGATGAAAGACCAAACAATACTATTTGATAGCACACACATAAAAGCAACTAACAATAGAGTTTCTGGAAACACGATGAACATTTTTTAAATGTAATCTTTGTTCCATAAATCTTGAATATATTGTAGGCAACTTATATTGAAGTATATGAAAATTCGTTGGATGGATGGAGAACACCTTTAATATGTTTTTGTATATATTTTTGGTTCCTTATGGCCTATGGATAGAATTAACTATTATGATTTAGGTTTTATTGAATATGATTTTAATTCTGATTTGGGGTAAAGGTTTGGTTTATGTTTGGGTGGAATATTGTAAGGTTTTTATAGGGTTAAAGATGTCTCTTACTATTTCAAATCCTGTTATTTAACCTATTTAGATTGGTGTATCACTTTTCTTTATTAAATCCAAACTACACGTGCATTTATCGTACAAATTTTTTGCTCGACTTAAAGTTAATGCTAAGAATTTCTGCTTCCCCAGGCATATGGTAAATTATTTGTTTCCTATTATTATTTTATGTTGCTCCTTTGTTGCTATAAACCACATAGATTAATGTCTTTTAGCACATTTATTCATAGGACTCGTATTGCACCCATGCTTCAGTTTTCTTTGCATCATTTTGAATTTTTTTGGTGAAATATGAGACATTTTTTTCATCTCAAGGAGAGTCAAAATCCATGTGATATTATTATTTTATGTTGCTCCTTTGTTGCTATAAACCACATAGATTAATGTCTTTTAGCACATTTATTCATAGGACTCGTATTGCACCCATGCTTCAGTTTTCTTTGCATCATTTTGAATTTTTTTGGTGAAATATGAGACATTTTTTTCATCTCAAGGAGAGTCAAAATCCATGTGAATTATATAT